ATCCAAATATAGGCAATAAGCCCCAATAGTCTCACCAGTCATGATCACAGATTATTGCCTGGTTTAATTGTGGCAGATACTCAGTCACTACTTCCAAAGTGCAGCAGTGTTGCAACCTGTCCCTGTGTTACAATTTAACTTCCTAATACGGAAGCACACGTTGCTGTGGCCCAAAGTGGTGACAGTTGGATAGTTTTACTGCACTGTACGTGGTTTCCTCTGTAATCTTATCTATTTTATTTTAAGCATTTGAAACTTTTCTGAGGAGGAGCCCAGAGGCTTCTCTAACTTAGTAAGGGGTCCCCCTGCTTACACCTCAGTCTCTGCAGGGTGAGAGCAGAGGTGCAGAGGTGCAGAGGAGGCAGACCCTGCCCAGAACAGCACTGTGGCCTCGCTCCTGTCACACGCAGCACTGGAGGGTGCCTGCCTGGGTCTAAGCTGCAGGTTCCCAAAGGCACACACTGCCCACTTCTGTGCTCAGTCCAAGCAGGCTCCTCTGCGTGGAGCGTCCTCCTCGTTCTTGTGTTGAGTCAATACCCCATCACTCCCCATCCATTTCCCACACAGCAGGACCATGAACCATGGCCTCCTGGCCACAGGATGATGCAGCTCATTACGCAGACAAAGGAGCTCTTCAGACTGAGAGAAACCAGTGTCGTCACAGTGGGACAGCAGTTTAAAATGGGGGCAGGGGCCTCCAGTGTGTGGGCTACACTTACGTGATTCGCTTCCAGAAAATAATATGAAAAGGCAGGAAAAGAAATTTAACAGTGAAGACACCTGGCAAATATGACCTCAGCCAGTGATCAAGACTAATCTCAAATAAATAAATAAAGACTAATCCTGTCAGCAATAAGCCATGCTGGTAGAGGTTCTTCACTTTTGTGGGCTGTCCCCCCAAAATTCACAGCCCCAGCAGTACCATGAGAGACAGTGCGTACAGACTGCCATGGCGGCCCTGAAGCAAAACAGGCCTGCTTGAGGGTCAGCAGGACGGTGGCCATTTTGAAATTAAGAAAGGCCTCTAATGAACAAGCTAACCGAGTGCTGCATCCCAGGGAGGTCTGTTTGAGAAATGATCAGATGAAAAACTGGGGGGCCAGCAGATGGTGCGATTGTTAAGGATGCTGGACTCCCACGTAGCCAACTGTGGTTCAAGTCCTGAACCTGGAGGCTTGCTTTCTCACTTTTCCTCTCTCTCTCTCTTTCTCATTCTGTCCCTCTTGGTCAAATTAAAACAAATAAATAAAGTGAAATAAAATCATTTTTTAAAAAGCAAAAGAAAAACCAGGAGTGGCTATTTGAAAGAATCAGGGTAATTACTCGGGGGAAGTGACTGACTGGCTGATTGTAATGAGGAACAATTTGCATGTACTTGTATCTTGTACCAATAAATGCCCAGAACATGGTCAGCTTTTCTAGACAGTTTGATGACGCTGTCTCCCTGTAACATGTTACAAAAATCAATTCCCTTCTTCTCTAGCCTCTGCCTCTTATTTCAATGACTTCAAGAAGCTGCAGCTAGGGTCCAGCCAGTAGCATGGAAGTTAAGGTGCTGTATCCCACATGGTTAAGAGTGTGGTTTGAGTTCTGGGTCCAGCAGCTTGAAGAACACGCTGGGCACGTGTGCACGTATGCCCAAAATCACAAGAGAATAGAATAGAAGGGATTGTGGCATGGCTGTCTGCCTGGAGGAACTTTCTCACTTTCTTTCCTCTTTCTCTGTCTCTCTCCAGTGAGTGCACTCGCCCTATTGCAAAACTAACAATAATAATAATAATTAAAGTAGTAGCTGGACTTAGTTTGGCCAGTAACACTGACACAGAAAAAAAAACATCAGGGGAAAATGAGTGAAATCTTAGTGAAATCTGGTGCTTAATTTATATACCATAATGCACTGACATTATGCACAATGCAGACCTCTTAGTTGTAACAAATGGACCACAGGAATTTAAGATATGAAGGATAGTAGGAAACTGATGCAGGGTATATCAGAACACTTAGTACCATCCTTGCAAGTCTTTCGTAAATTTCAAACTAATCTCCAAAGTTTAAATAAAACCAGAAGCTATATGAAACCTGTTTACAATTTCATTTAAATATACAATATAAAAACAGATTTTGCAGGGGTTCCACTGGGTACGAGAAGAAGAATGGTCATTCCACATACTTCTCTGTAATAAAAATACAATTGGGAAAAAAAAGATGCTTCCCTCTGAGTACAGGATGAAAGACTTCTATCCTCTTACGACACGCTATCCGACCCACGGGGCATGAGTCTGGATTGCAATGTGCTGTTGAGTGTGAAGCACATGCTGCATTTCTTTGTGTGAAAAAATAATGTTCAAAGTCGAACGATCTTTATAAAAACTGTGCTATTTTGGATATATTGGGTTAAATTATGTATGTTATGAAAATTAATTCCACCTGTTGCTACTTTCTAAAATGTGACTGCTACAGCCAGCCCCATAGCCTAGTAGTTAGGGGAGCTGGAGCCCACAGGGCTGACTAGGGTCCAGATCTGGGCCCCACTGGCTTGAAAAACACACTGGGTGCATTGCATTGTGTATGCGCCCCAAATCCTGACAGGTTGGAGAAGTGGAGAAGAGGCTGTGGCATGACCACACCCCACTGAGGAAAGCTTTCTCCCTTCCTCCCATCTCTCTGTCTTTCTTTGGGAAGGGTATGCGCCCCCTAGCAATTAGAAAAAAAGTTAAATAGGGCCAGCCAGGTGCCATAGTGGTTCAAGTGACTTATTCCCACGTGGCCAACACAGTTCGATCCCGATCTGACATGCATACGCATGCATGCCCAAAATCGAGAATGGAGAAAGAGGGAGTGCAGCGTGGCCCTCCCCTCTGGGGAATGCTTTCTCTCCTTCCCTCTCTCTGTCTCTGGTGAGTACACACACCCCTTAGGAAACTAAAAAAGAGAAGTAAATAAAGTTAAATGGGGTAAAATGTGGCTGCTGGGAGATCTAAGTTACATGTGGCTGGCTGGGAGCACTTCTCCTGGGCAGTGTTGCTCTAAGGAGCAGACTCCCGATGGGGGGGCCATGAGGCAGGAGGTCCCAGGAACCTCAGTGCCCTCACGGAAAGACCTGGCCCTGCACGTGTGATCTCTTGGGCAGAGGAAGAAGACACGAGCCAGTGCAAAGTTACAAATTTATTGGTCTGGAAATAAATACAAATATCTCATTAAGAAACTCCTCTGGAAAGACTTGTACACAATGTTTCCCATCTGCCTTCGGCCACTTTTGCCCCAGTCCCCGACCTTTCTGCACAAGGTCAGTGGAAGCCTTCCAGGGGTAGGTGGTAGTGGCAGGTAAACTGAGGCAGTGCCTCTCAAGCCACCTGGAAGGCCGGACTCCTTCTACTCACTGGAGGGTCCTGGAAATTACCAGGCCCCGGCGACTGATTCACGATGTTCGAGTCACTCCCATCAGACTTCCTATTAGAAACCCAAGGTTAGCCAAAGGAAAATCGAAAGGCAGCAGTACAGGAGTTTGGCAGCTCTGCTAGGCTGCTCAGAGACGCGGGGTGCCACCGTCAGCAGCGGGGTTAGGGGACGCGAGGGAGGCACGACAGGGAAGGAAAGCCTCTTGGAACACACTTTCCAGAATCCTGACATTTTCTCAGCCACCATTCCCACATGGATCCCCACCCCCAACAAGAGCAGAAATGACATCTGAAGATCTAGGACTATTTCCAGGTCAGAAACGGTCAGTGATCAGGTTCAGATCTGACCCCAGCTATCAAGGATAACAAATTGAATTTCGTTCAATCACACAAGGTTCCTGGGAGAGGCTGGGAGGCCCTGGAATCACAACTGCACTGGATTCTTCCCCAACCACAAGGGATCCCCTAACCTAGTAACCCTAAGACTTCCCCTCCCCCGTGCCCCCCCCTCCCCTGCAGGAAGATCCAGGGCAGGCAGGTGCAGGTGGCTGGGATGTTTCCCTCCAATGCACAGAACAGAGTCACAAGTCTAAGCCATCCTCCCAGGAACTGGCGGCGTGGGCGGGAAGTAGGGGTCCTGGAGGAGGAGGCAGATGGCTGAGCTAAAGCCCTAAATGTCGAATATCTGCTGAAACCCTGTCTTTGTAAAGCTGGGAGGATTGGGTGCCTGCTTTTGTTGCCCGTGGAAAGGATGCCAGAAAAGCAGGCTGGGATGCTTTGGCGTTCAGAAATGTATATATGCACCAACTAAATTGATTCTTCAAGTTAACTGAGTGGATTTGTTTTACAAAACGCCTCCAGCCTCAACGTAAATTCCACCTCTTTTCCCCTCTTCTTGTTTTGCCTACTTAAAAGCACTACCCACACTTCACTGCTTTCCCCCTTGTCAATTCAGAAAGGGGTTCTGCTTCCAGAGACTGGGTCAGCTGCTCCTTAGCTGGAGAGGAAACAGGAAGTGGGTGGCCCTCTGACAAGTGCCCGTTAGAGCCAGGATGCGGTGGTGGTCAGCCTCGCACGCGTTTGCTGGTGGCTGTTTCTCGTTTTGGGCAGCGTGGTGTCTCCGAGGGAGGGTAAGAGAGTGGCCACCGGGCCAGCAGTTAGGAACAGGACACTGAGATGCTTCTTCCTTTGTCCACCGCCGCTCTGCCCTTGCCAGGGAGGCGCCCTCCACAGACCCGATCTGTCACGGCCAGAGCTCACTCTTACAAAATAAGCTTTGGATTAATACCCAGTTAGGCGCAGCGTGCCAGGCAGGGGGCGGGGAGGGGCGGGACAGGGGCCACTACAGAGATCAGAGTCCAGCGGGGGGTCGGGGCGGCCGCCTAGCAGGAGACCTCCCTGGACTTG